TTACAAGACCCTGTTTATCCAGATTCTCTTTTCCTCCACCCACAGAGAAGAAAAGGCCTTGCTTCCGCTTACTCCAAGAAACCCCTTTGCATTGTCTCCCCATCTCCTAGCAAGTTTCTACTTCATGACAGTATCTTACTTTTCAACTCAAGACTATTTATTTCCTTTTCTCCACAGCCTTTCAGCCGTCCTTTAGAGAACCCTTGACAGCTTTGCCACAGAGTTCACATGGAACCACAATCTCACTGCAGAACCGCCACTGGAATTTTTGGTTGAACTCTCAGATGAAACTCAGGTCTTTGACAGATGCACAAAGAATGTATCTGACCTAGAATGGCAGCACCTAGTTGGCCCCATCCCTGACTTTAAGGCCATGTTAGACTTCTTTATCAGAACCCTGACTGAGGTAGTATATGCTTTGAACATGTAGTTCCCCAAGGGAGACCATCCAGATGTTTCTAATGAAAGGATGGTTCTGAAAGGATGACATGCTGTGGCTGGACATGAGTGCTAACTAGTTCCTCTAGAACATATGTACTTGGTACAGGTCACCTTCCCATATAAGTTTGCGATTGGGAAAATCCAGGAAACGTTTTTGTTTTTTACTAGCAGAATCCTGTGGTGAATCCTCTTTCAAAGGGGATTAGATAAACTCACTTACATTTAAAAGCACTGGTATATCAGGAAGTTCTTTCCCAATCACAATCTGACTAAAACTGGAGCAGTCTTTCCCTCACAAATTGTAGATTATGGAGGAATGGTGAAGGGAAGGAAAAGGAGGAAGAGGGACAAAACCAAAAATCTTTTGATGTAAAGTTCTGGGCTGCTGTTGCACTGCTGTGCATCTAACCAGCTTCACATTCTGATCAAACAGGCTTAGGGTATAAAAACTTGATGCATCCGTTTCTAATTATATCTCCCTCTAATTGACCCTTGAATAATTGTGGAGGAAGGGAAAGACACATACTTGTCTCCCAAAACTGGATTTCAAGAACCATATACTGTTGGCATTGTGGCGGGCCAGTAGGGGGCGCTCTTGTGCTGAGCCACCCGCCTCACTGCGTCCCACCAAAAACCAAGCTTTGAGTGCCTCCCCTGGGGCACCTATGTATGGCCCACCCCCTTCCTGGAGCACACCCACAAGCCTAGGGTACGCTGCCACCACCCGGACTCAGGTCTTTGTCTGGGTCCTGTGTCACCTGGGATACACAGACATTGTAGACCTAGGGGTTGCCTAACCCCAGCATGATATAACTGGGTGCTTCTTATAGCCCAAAGCATAGAAAGTAGCCTCCTTTAGTCAGCCAAGTAAAGGGAGCAAGAAGGCCTGCCCAATCCCCCTCAAACATGTACAAGGCTGGCTATAAAGGATAGCTTTATTGAGCAGAGAGTGAAGGCATAGGTACAAGTCAGAGGAATAACCCTGAGCAAACCAAAGTGGCTTGGTAGCCTTTTGATACACTTTTAAAACAGTCAATCCTACATTACTGGCTAGGTTTTAGGCAGGTTACTTACAAGATCATCCAGAGACCGATTGAGCCTGCTCTGGGGCCACCTGGCTTGCTGGCTGTGTCCCTAAAACATGTCTGCCTTTTTCCTGGAGGAAAACTCTTTCTAATCTCACCACCTGGACCCACCCACAATCAGCTATCTTCAGACCATGGCTGATGCTGGTTGGTCAGTTTAAAAAACATCAGCACCCTCAGGTGAGAGCTTAGGGTTACACAGGGAGGAGGGCAAGCAAGCTCCCCTCCCCCTCCTTCAGGAATTTTTCCACACAGTCATGTAGGCTTGGTAGTAAATGAGACAGGGGGTGAGGCGTGGGGAGGGCTGTCTGTTTACAGCAGTGAGGAAGACAGGGAGTTATTTCTTGACAGGCATAATTGAAATAACCAGAGTTAAAAAAAAATACAGCTAAATTTGCTTTTCATACTGATGAAGATAGTAACAAAACTTGAGCTGTACTTATAAAGTTTCCCAATAAAGTTTGATGATCTCTTGCCAGCTCAGTCATATTTTGAAAACTACCCCATTGATGCACCATGTATAATAAAACTAAAGTGAATGTCCCTCAAATATTACTTCACATTACTGTTACCTAATCCTGGGATATAACTTTGGCCAGGTACAGACTTTCAGTTCCTACTGGGAGAATAGCTGTTCTCCTGCTAGAAACTCAAAAGGTACAGATGTGTTCAGGCTTTTTCTTCCAGAGTAAAATTGATGCTCCAGGAGAAAAATAACCCAGCAACAACCAGAGTTAAATTACTCACAGGAAAATTTCTCCTGGAAGACTGCATGTTTATATACTTTCCCCAGGTTTAACTTCTCTTGGGGACTACGAAGACTGGAGCCAGGGGAAAAGTTTGCTTCCTTCCAAAAACTGGGGTCACACTGGTCTTGACAAGCCAATGAGGGGCAGCTGCTTACCCTCCTATAAACTGGGAGGTGAGAGAATCAGCAGCTACTACTCCTTGCCTTTTCCCCAAATCAGACAGTTCATGGTTTTGGGAAGAGGCAGGGGGCTTTGCTGGCTTCTGCTATCTTCCCCATGCTGTCCCTGCTGCCCAACTGAGTGACAATTTTAAAGCTGGTGCCTGGAAGTGGAGCTCCAGGAAAGTCTCCCTAACCCAGCTGCTCCCCCTTGCTGCCCAGCTGAGTGGTGGGGTGGCTAGGAACAGAGGGGAACTGAGAGTTGGGCTGGGGAAAGCCTCCATTCACCTGGCTCCTCTGGCTTTTAAGTCAGCACCTCCACTGCTCAGCTGAGTGGCAGGGGAACAAGAGGAAACTGCAGGGGCTGGGACCGGGCATATCGAGGGCTTTCCTCAATCCAGCTGACTGGTGGGACTATGGGGTGGGGAGCGGGCACTCTCCTGGGGCAGGAACCCTTCTTGGTTGTCTGGAGCAGCTGTTGCTTTTTTGCAGTTCTCAACTGCCACTTGAGGGAAGAAGGTAGGGTGCGAATTAATGGGCTCCCCCAAAGGCGAGAGTGGCCAAGGGGGCAGCCCTCTAGTGCCCCCTGCCTGGGAGAGTTTGCCTGTGAAGCTTGCCGGTCATGGGGTTGGAAGAATATCTGTACAAGTCAGCTCCTGGATTCTTTGTCTACTGGAAGAAATTTCTTCTGGTAGAAATGAACGTCTGTATGCAGCCTTAGACTATTTTTCACTGATGACCTGTTTAAGAATGACTATGTATATTAATCTATTTCTTAACATAACCAATAACTGTTACATTTGTGCTCTGTGATACAGACACAAAAGAAAGGAAGTTCAGAATTACCTATGTGTCCCACTAAAGTCATATCCCTGATTTTAAATTAATAGTTTAATACATTTAAAGAATTAAACTTCCACTGCCTGGTCCTTATCCACTTCAAATCCAATAACCTGTAATATGCCCTAGAAATTATGAAGAGTATGAAAGAAAATGACAAATTATTATGGAAAGTGGGAGACTTACACTAACTATCTTTCAAGAGTATAACATACTCTAATATATAAATACACAAAGTTAATTTACATTATGAATGGATGCCTTGAAAACTGGACATTTTAGTGTTCACGAAAGTATTTTAACCTTTAAACAACTGTCCTAGATGAAATATTTCTCCCCTTACTATCAATGAAGAAAGTCTACATCAATGAAAAATAGACATTTGAACAAAAAATATACATATAAAAATTTAACCAGTTATTTAAATGAAAAAATACCCAAGGTACAAAGCTAACAAAAATCTGGTTAATAATGGAAAAGCCAAAGGATCCTTAATAATAGCAGTGCTTTAGGTGTTGGGTGTTGTACCTACACCTTAGCATTTTCTCAATTTACTCTTGGCATCAAGAGTCAGCCTCTACCAATCTGCATTTTCTTGGAGATTTTCTTATATACATTCTTTTTACTTTTATGAATTTAAGAGAGATAATGGCACCTTACTAGGAAAATTTTTACGTAACAATCTCATCACAAGATAGTTCATTAGAATACAATATAAACTTTGTTTTTTTTTAAGTGACTATTCAGAACATCAGCTCATTCTATTATTAGAAAAACACCTAGCACATTTTGGATGCTACTGCAATCTAAACACTTATTTATGATGTCAAACGCCAAAGACATGGATAAAACTTATACAATATCTTTCAAAACTGATACAAATATTTGTATAGATTGTAAGAGCTGCATTTGGATATGGCTATATGTAACCTTAAAAGAATTGTTAGTACTGTATATAAAAAACGGAAACAGTTTCTGTAAGTGCAATGCACTCCTGATGCAGAAAGCCAATTCAAGGCAAACAGCATCACTCAAGGCCTATCCAAGGCCTGTGCAGGGGGTCCTAGGTTGCTTTTGGCATGTCATGGAAAAATTCTGCACAGCAGAGTAATTTAAACTACTGTGGGAAGGCCACTTTAAGTTAGAATGGCCAGGCCCAGTAACATTTTGTAACTGGTGTGGGGAGGTCAAAGCCACTAGAGGAATTCCAGCCAGGGGCAGGGGTGGTGGGCAAGACCTTGCAGCAGTTCCCTTTCTTCATCCTAGATTAAGGGAGGAGAGGCGGGGAAAGGGGGGGGGGGCAAATTATTTCTCCTCGCTTCAACTCCACCTGCATAAAGCCGGAACACTCTGGCTTTATACAAGTGGAGAGAATTTCGCCCTGTAAACATGATTTTCCAGAACTGTAAACTCCAGAATAAGAATCAGAAGTAAAATTTGACTGATAAGATCTACTGTACCATTGTACTGATCATTCTTTCATTAATGGGCAAACCTGAAAGTGGACTATTTATCCCAACTATGGACAACTGTTTTTAGATCTTTGCTAGTTTATTAACAAAGAGATGACTTAATGCTAAAATAATTAAAATTAATTGGAGGCCAAATGCTTATTTTTGTCATGTAATTTCTCTTTACTGATGGAGATGCAAGCCAGTATGAGATTTACTTCAAGTGAGTATCTTATAAATCACTGTAATCAGTTCCCTATTAAAACAAGAGAAAAATTTGATTTGTAATTTGACTTTATTAGAATCTGAACATTTAGAAATATTTGAAAATATGGCAGTAACTGGCAACAACATTTTACAAGATATATGGATTTAAGCTTACAAGTAACTTGAGAGGACAAGGACATGTTGTAGTACCTACTGTCCTTTTACACTTCTCATACAACAAAACCCATCTATACTATTCTGTGGAGTCTCCCTCTGACATTTTAGCTCAGTTCTCAAGCAAGTGCATTTTTCCTGAACTTTACTACCTAATATTTGTCTGTTAGCAGGGAAAAATGGAGACGTAAGTGGAAGGGAAGAAGGGAAGCACAAGGACTGAACAAATGGGAAATACATTTAAGAGCGTGGATAACTGACAGTAAAATATATGTTCTTTGGTTAGCAAGCAGGAAAAAACTGAAAGTACTTGCATACATGATAGATACACACTAGCATTCTAAAGCAGGAGACAAGAATGTCAAGAGTGTATTCTTCCCCCACTGCCAGATGGAAGGGCTATTATTATAAATGAAAGGCAGCAGTAGTGGATGCCAGGCACTTTTGTTGTGTGCCAGATTCTGAAGTCCAGATGTAAGCAGGTTACCCCTGGGAGAGGACAGGCTTCAGCTCCCGCAGTAGAACAGAACCAATCACAGTTTTCTCAGTGTTTATGATGAGCTGTGCTGTAGAGCTTTCCTTCAGCTCCACTGTGACTAGCATCAATGACCCACTGTGCACAGTTTTAGCTGCAAACCTGGAAGAAGAAAAATCATTGAAGACCTTCATATTAAGCCAAAAGCTGCTAACGCATTGTTTCAATAGTTGAATGAGACTGAATATTAGAAAACTTTTTCAGTTTAATTATTCCAGTAGAGGGGAGAAACCCTAACATCCCCCTGAAGACTCCTCAAAGATTTTTCTGTTGCATGGTACAAATATATTTAGATTCTGGTATCTAATAAGAGCATGAAATTTAATATAAGAATTGTGTGCTTAGCATTAAGGACAACAATCTCTGAAAGAATTTTTTATAATCTGATTTTACGTATTAACACAACTAATACTGAATTATATAATACCCAAATGTACAACTAATACCCAGTTGTATTTAAAACTATATGAAAATCTTGTACCAAAACTAGTAAAACATATGCTGAAAATATTATGCATTTTCTAAGAGACAAAAATGCAGTCTTTCAGAGATGTTTCATCTTCATGGCAGGTAATGAATTATTTCAACATAAAAACATTCAAATTACCTATCATAATAATATGAAACAACGTAATATAGTAAGCAAGTAAACTTTCTGAAAAATCAAATCTTTCCTCCTTTAGTGAATTTATTTATCTGTAGAACATTAAATACACTTTCCTAGTGACTGAATACTGTAAAAAGAACACAAACGAGGTCTAATGCTCCATTACTAAATTCCAAGACATGAAGAACCTGCTAATTACACGGAATTAAAAGCAAAACTAGCCTTTTAAGCACTGCAATTGACTGAAAAGCCATTTTAGGCACAATGAACTTCTGTCAATCCTGTTAATTCATTCTGCATGCACAGTCAGGCCCCAGAGACAGGAAGGAAGAGGATGGCAACAGCCTAGTCTTCCATATTCCACAAGGAGTGCACCACACTTTTTTTTTGGTTACTTGAGAACAACAAAGTTGCTGCACATGGGCTTTTGAAAACACTAACAAGTGTAGAGCAGGTCTGTGACCCACTGTGACCCCACTTTGCAGGGCCAATCCCCTCTCCCCTTTCTGAATGACACGTGTCTGAATCAGAGCCATCTGCCTCAATTTGCCCAACATCTTCAGCCACAATAGGACCCAGTTAGCCCTGACAACAGCTCACAATACACAAAAATAAAACTGCTGTGCTGACAGCACGCTGTCGGCTATTCAAGAGCAAACCAACTGGTCAGTGTCTCATGTCTGACAATTAGCATGGGCCTTGCAAAGCGCCTACTGGGATCCTTAGGGATTTGTTTAATTACCATCAACATAAAAGAAGGAGTTTATCAGGAGATACTCAAAAAACTTCACTCCAGACTTAATTAAAATATTAGCCACTTAAGCAGGAAGCAGATTCTCTTTAAATGAGAAGTAATTTCTTCTTTTTTATTTTTTAGGCATATCAAAACCTCATAATACATTACACTAATTTAGAAAGTATGGGACATCACAGGTTTCTATTTCTTTTTGTCCAAATTACAGATTATTTTAAGACTTTCCCTCTAACAGGGAAATCTTGCTTCTACTGAAACTACAATATTACTACTATAAAAATGAGCTATTAGGCTACTTCTGTTTCTCATTTGAGTTATTTGCTCCACAGTGTAAAGATCTGTATTTCTCATGTTGATTTGACAGGGTGATAATTATGTAAACAATAGTCTTATTAGTCTCTTTATTTACTTAACAGTTGTGTCTTGGGACAACAGAGAAGCAGATTATGTCTGAATGTGTACATAAAAAGCTCTGTAATCGGCAATCCTGCAGTGTTTCATAGCCCCAAGGCTTGTTTACTCACTTTCTTTTATTAAAAAATTGAAAGTGATATAAAGTCAATGTTATGATAAAGCAAATGCAGCCAAAAGCCTCAGAGGTCAGTTCTGGCCAGATTTTTACATGTGCCATTTAAAAAACTGGTTTTTTTTTCTAAACTAAAACACTTCCCAAACCTCTGAATGAAAAATTCTTGAATACAAACCTAAGTCTATATAGATGTTGCAGGATCTAAAGATGAGCTAATATGACCATGTTACATAAACTGCTAGTATGTATAGTTACAATATTTAATCAAATGTCTGTTTTAAGGGATACTGATTTGGAAAAACTTTTTGAAACAAAGGACTAGTGGAAAATGTAATTACTTATTTCACTATTTAAAAAAGACGTATTTAAACTGTGAAACAACATGTTTACTTACTGATTTTGAACCATGGAAAGCAAAATGGTTTCCCTAAAATGGACAAGATCATTTCATTGCCAAATTAATTATACTATAAAACATATGTTCAAAAGATATAGTTTCTGCAGATAAGCTCAGTTTCTAAATGATGAAGCAGCTGACTTTTGTTTACAAGATTAATGATCAGTAAAACCATGCGTGTCAGTTATTCAGATATTTTCAAGTGGTGATTGTTTTAGTTTTGGATAACAAGAAATATTTATTTTTTTAAGACTAAAGAGATACAACTTTACCAGATGCTAATATTTAAAATAACATGACCACTGTTTTTAACAAAATCCATCTCTAGTTCAACCAGATTTTTAAATAAGAAAGCAATTCAATATCCTTCAGTAGTGAAAATAAATCACTTATTTACAGTAGAGGTTTGCTTTTTACAAGCTGCTGTGGATCTACCTTTTGTCTTATAGTGTCAGTATTTACTCCCCCCGGTGTTTTTCTTTTAAAACTATTTTACACAAATATAAAAACAGGAAACTTTTCTGTTGACTATGAAATCAGACTTTGCAGCATAACTCAAAAATACTTCCTGAAAACTTAGCTGTGCCACAGTATAGTTTAACTTGTAAATGTTAGTTGCTTGTAGATGTAAGAAGGTATGCTGTCCTTTGGTGGGACTTCACTAGACATGGAATATTAACAGCTATTTGAACAAACCTGCTGTGACAAAGTATACCAACAAATCAGGAAAAAAATTAAAAATAAATTAGAATGAAAACAAGTACATTTCAATAATTCACCCCCTAGCAAGAGTTTCAACATGGTTGTTTCTGTGATCAAGAAAATAATTTTGTGTTTTCTGTCTGCTAAACTGTATATTTAACTGTCATGAAAAAAGTTATTTTAATTTTTTTTCTGTATGTTTTATAATTAAACAAATAACCAACTTGAAAGCAAAATTCCTCCTGGAATATTTCTCTCTATAGCTGAGAGAGAAAATTAGTGAGCAATGTCTAGCATCACTTGCATATTCTGGGCTACTGATTTTTTTTTTTTTTTTTTTTTTTAAGAAAGAGCACTGAATCATAAGAATGGGAGAAAAGCGATTTACACATGTTCAAAAGAAACATCCAGTCTTTGCTAGAGGTTAAGAAACAAATAGAGTCAACAACATTGAGACATTATCAGTTTCATTATATTATATATTTCAGAAACTTTTTATTCTTTAAAATATATAGGTAAAAACAGTGACCACTGTGTCATGTACTTATTTTAAGTGAAATCAACCTCTGTCAGCACCTGCTACACAATAACATGACTTATAGGAATCTGCTATTTTTAGTAGAAGGGAAAGCTAGAATTTCAGATATTAGAGAAGCTGACTGTTTTGGTGACCACTGTACACTCTATTGTACCTGTACAAAAAAGATGGCCAAAACTTACAGTCTAAGTACTTTTTTCAGAAAGGTTCCAAAATGTTTAGCTATTGGATACACTACAATAAAATAGTAATTTGGTCTAGAACCTGCTCTAAAAATTCAACATTTGAAAAAAGCAAATTTATTAGAGAATATGTCTTGTATAAGATTTTTTTAATGCTTAATTCAACAGGCCTAAGAAATTATTTCTTTTTTTTCTGCTGGTCTTCCTGGTCTCTGATTTTCCTATTTTAAGTTCAATTTTCTTCTCTCTTCTGTTCTAGTCATTAACAGAAGCAGTGACAATGGCCCACTCAGGCTAAAACTTTTTTTTTCCTACCCTGTACATGAAGCTTTCAATTACTGCCTGCTGAAGCAGACAGAATCCTATTAGTAAGAAAGACGATCACAAGATGCAATGCCCTGCCCTAGCTGTACAAAAATAATTAGTCCAAAGTTGACAAATGTGTAATGAAGTTACACAATGAATGTATGTAAGAAATATTGGTGTAAATTAGTTTGATTTCCAAATACCGAATGACAAACTACAAAATGTATTCAAATATAAATAAAATGATGTCATTTCAATACTAAAGAACCTTGTTTTACCTTGATTAATATTGCATTTACACACAAAATTAAGTTTATGTTTGGCAATTTATCTCAAAATTATTGGTTACTTATGCTGTTTAGTTGCCACAGATGCTACAGAACATGAACACATACATATTGGTGACAGCCTTACTATGTATATGGTTTTGATACTGGGGCAAGTCTAACGTTAAAGACTTAAAACAGTGATACAGAAAAAGGAAACAATTTTGATTTTTAAAACTTGCCATTTCAGACTGGCAGAAAAGGGTTTTTTTTGTATCAATTATAGGCAGCCAAGAAAATTAAAGACCATGAACTACAGAAACGGTTTCTAGTTATTGTGAAATCACCTCTTATCTGCTTAAAGTGGTTCATGCAATTTTGAAAGACAACAGAAAAAGAATACACCATATATTTTTCAAAATGCTTATTGTATCATCACACTATACTTGTTTTAAACTTATTAAACATTTGTGGGTTTAATGAGAAAAATTAGAGCTGAAATATATACATATTTGTACGGTAGCATTTTTAGTTCCTTTTCTTTGCATCCTGATTTTCTGCCAAAAGAAAGTTCTGCCCTTCTGCTCTGTTGTTACTTGTGACAAAGATCAGAGTGCAAATGAGTCATTTCACTTATTACTGAAGAACTGCTCCATCTCTCAGTCACTGACTGTTTGCACAAAATTTTATATCCCTGCATTAGCTCAGCAACCTATCCAGAGTATAAGGGCTGGGAATCCAAATCTGCTTCTCAAGACTTGGATTAAGTAAAAACTCTAACACACTGTAACCATATCCAACCAACTTAAAAGTTAACCTAT